AAAGGTGACTCACGCGATGACTCTACGCTTGCTACTCTTTCCTCGACACTTCCTGATTATCAAATCATGCATCTTCCTCGATCTAGTAAAGGTGGTGGCGTTGCTATAGTGTATCACAACGGTTACCAGACAATCCAAAACGATCAATGTCGATTCTCGTCCTTTGAGTACCTCGATCTCTCTTTAACGTCCAAGTCTACGTCAATACGCTTTGTCGACATCTACCGTCCTCCACCTGGAAGCAACTCTTCAACCGCAACATTTATTTCAGAACTGTCATCCCTAATTGAAGAATTGATTATTTTCCCTGGTCGGTTTATTATTGTTGGTGACTTTAATTTGCATGTCGATGTCCAGGATAATGGTTTTGCCTTACAATTCTTGGATATGCTGAATGACTTTGGCCTAAAACAGCATGTGGTTTCACCGACACACAACCGAGGCCACACTTTAGACCTTGTAATTACTAGAATCACCGAAGAATTTGTTACAGGATTAAATACTACCTTTTCTCTACCGTCAGATCATGCTGCTGTAACTTTCTACTATTCCATTCCATGTCCTACGCCTACCAAAATCAAGGTTAATCATCGCAAACTTCAAGACATTGACATTGCTGCTTTTAATAAGGACATCTTGGGCCTACCTATTGCCTCGTCAACATCATCTGACATTGACAATCTTGTTAGTCAGTATAATTTGAAATTGAGCTCTCTGCTTGATTCCTACGCTCCTGCCTCTACGCGTCTGATCACATTGCGTCCACATGCTCCTTGGTTCAACAGTACGCTCCGAGATGAAAAGAAGCTGAAACGCAAGCTCGAACGGAAATGGAGATCCACTGGTTTAGAAGTTCATCGTCAGATGTTTACAAACCAGTGTTGTAAGTACCAAGATCTACTCAAGGCTGCTAAAGAATGTTACTATAGAACTAGAATTAACAATTGTGATGGCAGTAAGTTGTTCTTCGAAGTTAACAAGATTGTTAAGTCTTCAAGCAGTTGTCTGCTCCCTTCCTTCGATGATGCTTATGTCATGTCCAAGGAATTTGCTGTCTTCTTCAATAATAAGATTGATAATCTTTTGGAGTCACCATTTTTCAGTCATTTTATCAAAATCTTTAATAAAAACACTTCATTTATTTACGTTTTTTGCTCTCTTTGACACTTGATATGATAATAAAGCACTTATTTACTGGAAACCTCGGGAAACAGTATGTTTTCAGCTTCGCTTCGGGAAACATCAGCGGTCTCGGGACCACAAAACATACTGTTTCCCTCGGTTCCAGTAAGTAAGTGTTAAATATTAATCTTGTTAGATTCAAGTATGCTTTTGTGAATTACCTACATGTAGCGAGATTCGCAATTGTATTTTATAAGCAAATAAAACATGGTTTTCATTATTATGTTCCCAGCCATTTTCAATGTTTCTTATAACACTTTGTAGCTCTGGATCAGAGGTTGTCGCTGTAGCAATCTCATTTCACTTATTTTCTGTAACTGGCATTTATGTCTTGACCATGTTAACATGTATTTCAACATCTCTTTCAGTTGTCTGATCACAAGTACTCTGAAGATAGGCTCTTGATAATGTATCAGGAACTACTAGTTACTTGCCTGGCGTATATTCAAAGGTTAGGTTGTACTTCTGAAGTTTCAACATGAGTCTCTGTATTCTTGGTGGTGTGTCACATAAACTCTTTTTGACAATTGTTATCAAAGGTTTGTGGTCTGTTTCTGCGATTACATTTGGTACTCCATAGATAAATTCATGAAACTTGTCACAGGCAAACACCATTCCCAGTGTTTCTTTTTCAATGGTAGCATACCTCTGTTCAGAGGTTGTCAGAACTCTCGATGCATATGCAATTGGCTTCCATACACCTTCATTGTCTTGAAGTAGGACTGCACCTAGTCCTTTTTTAGATACATCTGATGATACTTTGATTCTTCTCTCCGGGTCGTAGAACTACTGGTTCTGTTGTCAAGAATTCATTCACGTGTTTCCACTCTTTTTCGTGTTCTGGTTGCTATTGCCATTCATTTTTCTTTTCTAGTAAACTTCTTAGAGCTACAGTCTTAGATGACAGATTTGGTACAAATTTACCAAGGTAATTGACCATGCCAAGGTACCTTTGCAGTTCCACTTTACATGTAGGTTTAGGCATATTGCTAATAGCTTCTACCTTTTTGGGATCTGGTAGTACTCCATTACTTGTAATCTTGTCTCCTAGAAAGGTCATCTCTTGAACTCTGAATCGACACTTAGTCCTCGGATTAAGCTTTATAATCCAACTTCTCTTGCTTTAGTGAGAGCAGCACGTAGGTTTTTGTCATGTTCAGTCATGGTCTTACCCCATACTATGATATTATCATGGACTGTTTTGATTCCTTCCATGCCTTCAAACAACTGTTCAATTGTTCGATGAAACACCACAGGGAAAGAACTGATTCCAAATGGTAATCTTAAAAAGCAGTATCGACCATATGGTGTATTGAACGTACAGAGCTTTGCACTTGATTCATCTAATAGAATCTGCCAAAATCCTGAGGATGCATCTAATTTTGAGAAATACTTAGCTCCAGCCATGTCAGTGTGCTAATATCTTTATTCCGGCACATCTTTCCGAAATGGTCTTTCTTATGGCATTTATGGCATTCTTTTCCATAAGCGGGGCATTGTTTATATTCATGTCTTTGTCCACACTTTTGACAAGGTTGTTGTTCCTTTTTGGAATCTAGCTCCTTACCAGTATTCTTTGAGTTTGGATAGGACTTTCGGCTCGTCGATCTCGTTTTCATGTCAATTAGTACAGAATTCCGTCAAAACTGATCAAAATAAGCCCGAGAATATATCTCTTGAGTAGATTGTGTCGTTGAATTTTTTGTGTTTTGAAAGATAGAGTGAAAAAAGTCAACTTACCTTGATCAGTGCTTGTTTTGGCCTCCATAATTGGTACTCTAGCACCGTYGACWCGRCGACCGGCAAAAGGTCGAAAATGCTTTAAAAAAGTTCTAAATTGAAAAAATATCGCTCCTATCTAATGAAGAAATTGAAAAAGTACAATACAGTGTAAAAAAATGGGTCTAGTTAATTCAAAAAAGTACTAAAATTGCTTGATAAACGTGTGAAAATGCTTTCTGTCAAAGACGGTCCGCGGGGAAAAGTTTTTGCTGAGTTTGCATAATAAGCCTCGTTTTCGAGCGCGCGAAAGACACGGTTACTAAGTTTCTGCTTTGGTCTATAGGTTTCTTGTAAAACCTACTGAGGAGAATTTTGTTTGTTACACGTTTCAAGTCCCTTAGTATATGTTTCTTGTAAAACCTACTGAGGAGAATTTTGTTTGTAAATCTTAGAATTCAACTGGATATTTGTTTTACTTTATAATAAGTATAACCTACCTGACTCAAAAACTTCAATTTCACATATTATTAAAGTCGAGTTTAAGAAACGTTTTAACGTTACTGTTACATGTGATGCCTTTTCCCAAGGATTGCACTTGCATTCTACTTTCGAATTTTTTGACTTTGCCGAACAAATGCAATTGTCTGTTGTGTTATGGATATTAGTGGCTGTGACTGCATACTCCGAGATTGGTCCCAAGGAATCAAGGGTGCAACATTTCCCATTATCTGTTATAATAACTTCATCTATAAACACACTTTTCTTCATTTCCACTCTCAGATAAAGAACATCATCCTGTGGATGACATAAATCAATTAATAAACACAATAAATAAGAGATATCAATTTATAGATTATCATTCAGTTCATTTAAGTTAATTTGTAGATTTGTTATTAGCTAGTTAGTTAGAGGTAGCTCGTAATTGCTCATTCACCTGCCTTTTTCCACATCTCACAGAAAACATAAGCTTTCCTTGAGCATCAAGTAGTCCGCTAGTAAAAGTTTAGGTTCAAAACATCTAAATATTTTTCAGTTTTATGAGTAAGTCAAAAAGTAAGCGTTCATTAATTTTTCACTATACTTGAGCTAACAATTATGCATTTTTTTACTTTTCAAATTTGAGAAAATCCGTTTGGCAGAGGCATACATGTTTCATATTTCGTTACATTGAGAAGATTAAAAATGTAAGCAGTATTAGCCTGCGATGATCGGGCCAATCAACCATGGGACGTTTTTACGAATAGCTATATCCATCAAATGTACCAGTGCGGCTGATTTTATCAATCCTTATCTTCGTACAAAAAACGCCGGTCCAGGGAGGTGTTTATTCGGAATGCTAATCAATGACGACTCACAATAACACAACTTACCTCATCACTGACAAAACACGTTTCCAGTATGCCATCAACAGCAAATCTTGGTCCAAATCCAAATATAGGTATGGAAGATGTCAAAGTGCCATTAAATGCTTTGTTAGCTGAGATTTTTTACACTGATTAATTATTTAGAATAAATTGAAGAAAAAGCCACACACAACTTTTAACTTGTCACTTGATATTTTACTGATTATATAAATTTATTTTTTCATTTGAATTCAACTGAATTCTCTCTGATTTGAAAGATCAACTTGATAACTTGATAACATGAGCGAATCATACATGACTTCTACTAGTCCTACTAGAATCCAACCACCTATTTTGAATTATACTGCTAGTGGATTAGTTCTTGAAAAAAAATTCATCATAAAATTAAACTTGACGCCCCGGGAAAAAGACACCTTTTAATATTTTTAGCAGGAAATTTCTAGTTTGGCTCATGACGTGGACACCAGCGTCCGTTTATCAGAAAGTCCCATTATAAATTATACAGAATTTTCAAGGTCATAAGATTATGATACTTTTATTTAATGAAAGTGGTAGTAACATTTTTAATAGGTAAATATACTTACTTCTCTGCTTCTTGCAAATACCTCCCACAACAAAAGAAGAACACGAAACGAATCGATATTCTCCGCTGTATGTAACTTCACTGAAGTTTGAATGATAAGAAATATCTTTATTGATGTTGACTCCATCGGAACCAAACCAACCAGGATTCGTAAGTCCAATGAAATAATGATCAAAAGGTAATTTCAGTTTTTGAAGGTGTGAAGAGACACCATTTCTCACGTACTCTCTATCAATTGTAGCAAGTCTGGCGTGGCGTTCAGTGCACTTCTGGGAGGCTGTGTTTCGATTTACTATGGAATTGCTAAAATAGAAGCATCTGCCTCTAACTGGGACGAATTCAGGATTGCACATTAATTTTCCTAAATAAAATAAATATTCTTGTGAGGCAAATAAGAATGCTGACATAAAGAACGAAAACACACCATTTATTGATTTTGACACACCAAAGGTTTTGGCCTTCTATAAGTTTTATTTTCACGTTTGCCTTGTTGAATATCCAACGAGTGACTTTTTGTTGATGTTGTTGAAATTTTTCGAATTTAAGAACGTTATCATATCAAAGCCTGGGGGACGCTTGTCTAAAGTACCATACATTCTTTGCTATGTTTTCAAGTTTAAAACGATTGTCCCAATAAAATCATTGTGATCACCATGTATATGCAACGTGCAATGAGATTTTGCCTCGGCACCATTCCCTTTTTTAAAATTTGAAAAGCCCAATTTTATACTATTGCCATAAAAAAAATACCTGAATGTTTTGAAAGTTCCATTAATCGTTTTATTTGTGCATCTTCCAGGGAGACATCATAAAACTGAACATGCGAGATAGCGCCTTTGAAACCTGCACCAATAGCTACAATTTTTCCTGTAGACAACAGCTTTCGATTTCCAACATTCTTTGAAATGCTTGAATTTCCTAAAAACAATTTAGCATCCCCAGTTCTAAAATTGTATGACATGCCAACAAGATTCCACGATCTGCTTTTCATACCAGGGGATAGAAGTAAAATTGATGGCTCTTTAAACTTTCTGAAACTCAGGCGACCAATAAGGTGGCTGGCATTTGCAAGGATTCCCCAAAATTCATAAGTCCAATTATAATACTGTATTATCGTGCCTTTCGAATCGAGTTCAGGATAGATCCACAGAGTTATTGTTAAAGAGTACATAAGATCAAGGCTGCCATTATGCCTAATAACAATAGCGCTGGATATCAATCCGTGAAAGTAATAAGATCCATTTCGCCAATCTGGTTTCGGAATAGACCCCTTTGCATAAGCTATTCCTTCAGGTAGTGAATCGGGACTTTCCTCCTGTATTCCACTTGAATTGTTTAATGGGTATATTGCTACAGGACGGGGAAAATCTGCAATTGAAAATATACCACTTCGCGGATAATTCGAAATTTTACATTACGTCGTTATGGTAAATCATTGACATCACTGGAAAGAGCGTCATAAAATCAGCAAATTTGCCAAGTTTGGAAATAATCTGATTTAAATTCAAAGAGATACGGCACTTCAAAAACACTAAATTTCGCATAGAAATGTTTGGCGAGGTTGTGACAAGTCAAGGTCAACCTTGATCTCATGCCGACAGCCATACATTTCTTTGTAAATTTTGCCGAATTTTAAACGCTGTATCTCCTTGAATTTTCATCGAATCATGCTAAAACCTGGTAAACATGCTATTTTTATACTGTTCTTTCCAGTGGTGGTAGTAGTTTTTCGATATTTGCTCAATTTCTAATAGCTGTGTTATCCGCGAAGTGGACTATTGATGATTTTGACAAAAATTTAAAGAAGTAAACAACAATTATTTGGATTAAGCTTGGAAAAGCTGAAAACTGCAGTCGACGGATGTGAGTGTCTGTTGATTGTAATAACATTCACCAGTAAAAAATAAGAAGCTTCAAATAAAATACGACAAATAAAAGACTGACCAAGTCGAGAATGTCTATCAATTAGGAAGCAAGCTCTGTGTATGAACAATAACTTAGATACAAACCTTGTAATTCTTCACAAATATATGCAAATTTTCCTGAGCAGTGTACACCCCTCCATTTCAAATCGCTACGAGATATTACTGCACATTCTTTATCAATATTATTGTAGTTATGATTGTTCCAAAAGTCTGATATAGGTAAAGAACCATCTTCCCACTGCCATTTCCATTCCTTTCCAATATGATGAACAAAGTTCATCCCACGTATGTTTAGCATGTTCCACAAGGATTGTACAGTTATCGCTTCAGCTCGAGAGCGAATGGTGGCTACTCTGCTATTCAGCTCTGCGCATGCCGTATAAAAGCTTCTCAGATCGTTTTTCTTCATAGCCTTGAATAAAAAGCACGAATTTCCGATCAAATTCCAAGCACTACCACATGGTGAGGATTCTATAAAAGAATCATAACTGAAATTATAAGTCTATGGACTCTTCACAACTCATAATTGCTCAGCTGCCTCGTGCTTGGAACAACAACGGTGCATTTCAGTACCGCCATGGTCCCGCAGTATATAAAAACTGCTGGTAGCTTTTCAAACGCCTTCTGAGAGTCTTTGGTATATTCGCAAATAACTTTGTTATGCTTAAACGTAAATTCATAATTACCCGGTATCCTGGCATTCTTGATTGCAAATGTTTTCACTTTTGGATGGCATTGACAGCTTGCGTTTGTTAGCGTGTACTCAACCTGCTTCTCAAAATCGGCGTCATAAAACGCATACAACCTTTTAACATTTGCACTGGTATTAAGAAAAAAGCAGTCCATTGGCAAATTATATTTATCCTTCCAAAGATCTTTTTCTTTGGATACGATTTCTTTGCGATGGCTAGGTTTGGGATTAACACAATGTAAACCACTTGAGAGATTGTTTAGAGAACGTTCTATTTGGAATTCCATAACCATCGAGTACCCATTGTAAACCAGAGGATGTCGCTCAATCTTGTATTCCTGCTTTACAGCGTTCTTTTTCAAGTAGTAAGTGACAATTTCTGAGAAAGAAACTTTGATCAGTACAAAGATGTTCTTATCATCGGGAGGAAAATTAGTCGATGTAAGCTCATATAACTGTCTTGAATTAAAGTGAAATTCAGTGATTATTTAAGGGATAAGATATTATGTCATAGTTCCGTTTGTCCCATATTATTTAGTATATTACACGTGGTAGTCTTATCCTATGAAGTAGTAGCTGTTCTTGTAGATTCTTTAAAGTTTTTAGTCGTTTATTATTAGTATTAGTAGATTCTTTAGTCGCGACACGATCATTAGACTATCAATATAGCTATCTATTCTAATTTCAGCAACCAACTCAAAATCATATTACTCAGGAGCCATTTTTTTTTTTCTGTTGTGGAAAAGTTTGATACCAGTATACAACTATTTCAGAAAAAATAATGAATGCTGACTGGATACTAGTGTTTACCATGACAACAGTGCTTTTTGATGCCATTTAATCAGACATCATTTCGACTAAAGAGCTTAGCTTTTATTCTATCTAAAAACGTTTCTACGCTATAATTTATTTTTATAGACGCGTAATACCTCCATGATGACTGCATGGTGCTTGAGAAAAAGTGATGTCATCGATTGCAGTTGAAGAGGCATTCTCAGATCGCATCTCGATTATGAACTAAAGGATAAATATAAATAGAAAATGTTGACGAACTTATTTTAATCACTAACCTTGATTAATCAATATAATTTTTAATCATTTTAACCCTATTCAGACTGGGATTTTTTTTTTGCAATCTGTGACTCTATAATTGAGTGTCATCAGCATAGATATGAAATGACATCGTATGTTTTCGAAGGATATCAGCAACAGGTGACGTGTAAAGAATGTACAAGAGAGGACCAAGAACAGAACCTTGTGGTACACCACAGACAAGAGGGAGAGTATGGAACTTGACACCATCAACAGAAACAAATTGAGTACGATCAGATTGGTACCATTTGAACCACTTTACAACAGAAGCACAAATACCAAATTTGGTGCGCAGGAGAAGTATAGTATGATCAACAGTGTTAAAAGCAGCAGACAAATCAAGCAGCAACATGGCAACACAATTTCGATTATCAAGGGAGAGAAGAATATTATTACAAACACATAGAAGGACAGTTTCTAAATTTTTAATCTGCGAGACCATTTAAAGTTTGTAGCTTATTTACATTAGACAAAAGAACTAAACATGACTACGAAAATGATAGCAACATTTTGTTGTCCACCAATAAATTTGTCAATTTTACCTGAAACAGTTTAGTGTTACTATAGAATATTTCTGCATTATTCCACTTATGTACTCCATTGTGAGACTTTACCCAGAGCGGTTTAAGGTCAGATCTTGCCATTATATGTATAAAAACCGCAATGTAACTTGTGTAATCTGCGAATGGGCCATCTGAGATACGATAAAAGAAATTCATACATTGCTGTCCAGTCATCCAAGGACTTGCGATTTGGGCATTTGTAAAACTACTTTTAACGTAAATAACGTTTGATCTTAAGCCACTTTCATCTAAAAAGAAAGAAACATCATATGAAAATAAATGTAATGTCAGCCATGCAATACACTTCCATACACGAGTAACGCACACTATATGAATCATCTCCTCTGGATATTAATTGAAAGTATACAGAGTGAAGACATATGGACTATTTTACCCTGGAGCGACCTCTTCAGTCCATAACAGGGAAATGATATATCCACAAATGCTTCGTAGGATTTTAGTAAAATGGAACAGGTAATCTCAATAGACCGAATCAAGGTTACTGGCGACATTTTGGAAGGGGTGCAACTAGACTGGGGCGAGCGCGCGGCCAACCATGCATTCTCTTACAAAACTTCGTAAACAAGTTCTTTATGCCGGCTTTGTTTAGCTTTCAAGGTTAAGTTTTGCCGTTAAATTCGGATAGCTAGCATCTTTTGTTGATATAAATTCATATCTATGTCCAAACAAGTCATAGAAACAATGGAACACATTGAAATATTGAATACGGATGGCCATCGAGTGCCGGCGAGAGATTCTCTTCTGTGTCAAAGCTACGTAGGTCGAAATCGTTCTAATGTTGATCGAATTTATATCAAAATTGCATCCGCAGTTCTTCAATTTTTACAATTTCATTTGAATTGTTATAATGCCCCTATGATTTTACCCATAAGTTATACCCAAGCATGTATAACATGAAGAGGTATTAGGAAACGAGCATTCAAGCGTACATATCACTGCAAACGATTCGTACTTGATTTCCCAGTTCGCATTAATTTCGATTTCGATCTGAAGTTGGAAATCGTCTAAAGTCATGATCAAACATCAATTATGGCGACTCGAGGATTACCCGATCCCAGGAAAAGGACTATGACAGCCAAGGGCTTGGAATATGAGCTCGACAACAAACGGAAATCAACCAGGAAGAAAGACAAGGATTTTATTAACCAGATAAGTACACTTGAAAGCTTCAAAAATGTAAACGAATCAAGGAAAATACTCGCACATCTCACGAGTGAACTAGAAGTCATAATCGAAGCCTACAGTGAAATAGCTATATTTTGTAATGACCCCATCGAAGCCAATGACATTGAAGAAAGAAAGAAATATCTACGGTATATTTGGCAAACGGCTCATGACAAGGCTCGTGTGAACACAACTGRAATCAAACATGCTCAAAGTGATATCATGTCTAGACATTCAAAATCAAGCTCGTCATCAATAAATAAATCTCTCTTAGACATTAAAGCAAAAAGAGCTGCATTACAAGAGAAATCGAAATATGTCTCGGCGATTGCAGAACATAAAGCAAAACAACAACAATTAGAAATCCGACAGGAACTTGAGAGCAACAGAAGAAGTTTACCAAAACGTATTGATGGAAGAATGCGATCTCGAAGTGAGATTAGGACCCTTTGCACCAATAGATGAACATTACATCATGTCTACATTCATGCAGCATGACTTTGATAACCAAGAACAACCTACTAGCACACCAACTACCACAGGGATCCCAACAGTATTATCTACTCCAACGTCATCTCGTCCACCTATTAAACCAAGAACAATAATAACACCACAACCAAAACCACGCAGCACAGGCAGCCCAGTAACTACTACCCGAGGAAATCCAGGCATGCCCGTCTACACAGACCACCCAGCAGCTCCTACTACAGGAAACCAAGTCAAATCTCCTACAACAGGAAACCAAGTCAACTCTCCTACTACAGGAAACCAAGTCAAACCTCCTACAACAGGAATCCCAATAACACTCTTTAATACAAGATATCCAGACACACCTSTCACGAGACGAAATGCARTTCCTACTGAAAAACTGAATAGTCCTTTGGATGTACCCTTCCTTGGTTCATCAGAACACGCTAAACAGAAGCGTACTGACATTGATCTAGCTACACCTGTAAGTTTTCGGTTAGGCAGTACCGGTATTAAAAACACTGACGTTGATGCTGAACGTCCGGATATAAAAATGAACTCCACTGCAAGACGAGCAGATAACAACGAAATTTCATCTCCCAACATACATGTCCAYGATTCATCACAATCATTAGAAGAAACACTCATGAAGGTCACGCAGATACATCGTATCCCACAGGCAAAACCAGAAATCT